GTTATTAAATAACTTTAAGAAGGATTATATATATAATAAAAAGGTTAAGCTATTAAAGGTTTTATTAATTAAGTTATTTAAGTTAGAAAAGTTAAAGTATTAATACTTTTATTAACGTAAGTTATATTTAGATAACTAGAAGCTTTAAAAGTTAAGAGAATATAAGCTAATTAAGTTTATAAGATTAATATATAATACTTTTTAATATAATGTTCTATATGGGTTACAAATAGAAGGAATCTATTCATTAATCACAATCTTTTGGGGTCGACGGTAAGCCCACTACATGAATCGCTACTAAACTCTATCTCACAATCTGCTCATAGCTTATCCCAACAACAGCGGTACGATCGGCCGTGGTGCTCTTTTAGACTAGTACTACTGGTCCCAAAGCAACAACATCTCCCTCTCCCCATTTCAAAATAACCCCCAAGATATGTGTTACATCCGCGCTATTATCGCCGAAGAGAGCATAATTCCACCAAGGCGACAATCTCTTCATTAACGTCGGATTTACGGTACAGTACAACGCACTCTCCCCCCAAGAACAGGGCATCGTTCCCAACGCCAGCCCGGAGGTCTTTTGGGTCAAAGAGTCGCTCAGATGGCTCTGGGATAGCGGTTTCTCAGCCATTGCCTCGGATGCGGCTGGCTTTGAAAGAGGCCCTGCAACGGGAGCGTATAATCATCCTGACGTGAGTATACATCAATTTACTCTTGCAGCGTTGGTAATGCCAATCGGTAGGATCTTTGACTTGGAGGAGCTGGCAGAAAAATGCAGGAAGAGAAACATTATGTTAAAATAACTTTATTATAACCGATCTTTCGCCACCTTATAACTCAATATTCCCTAACCTTAACCAGCCAGTTTAACCTTTCCTCTAATAATACAGCCACCGTATATGTGTTTTCCTCCAAACCTTTACCAGTCCTTTTAACCTTTCCTCCTAACCATATAGCCGCCGTAGACATATTCTCTTCAAAACCTTTGTCCGTTTGACCTTTCCTCCGCATCCACCCTTCCTCCTTTGAGTCACCGAGTGACTCACATCCACAGCCTCAAAGCTGCAGCCACAGAGCGTAGAGGGTGTTTCTGTCAGCTACAGTGAATGCTGCTGTATTAATGATGAAGTTGTTGATGTAGTTCTGGCGTTTAGCTGCCTGATAGCTATAACCTATGACTATTCTTGTAATAGGAGCCTACATCTTAAGGAGTATTTCTAATATTAAGTTAGAGAGCTATAATAGGTAATTAAAGTAGCCTTTTTATTATTTTATAAATATATTTAAGTTCTCTTTATATATTAAATATAATTATTAAATAGGCTAAAAAGCTTATCTTAAGTAATTATATTAGGTAGCTAGTATACTACCTAAATTAATTTAATAAGAGTATTATTTTAAGTTAATAGAAACTGCTACTAATACTTATAGCACGCGCCTTACATGCAGGAAGAGAAAGCTTTGCAAATTTTCGTTAATAAGTATTTCATTCAAGGTATCCAGCGGAATTGCTAGTCGAGATAATGTAGTGGGAATATTGTAGACCATCTGGTCAATCTATTAAATAAATAGAGCTAAATTATAAGGTCTTTCCAGTTGCTTTCAGGGCTGATGTTCTTGCTCACACTATAGCTAATCTTTAACCAATCAGTTTGAATAAATACCCTATATTGAACTCGGTGATATCTTTTTGTGCGTTTATGAAGATCAGGTCTTGAAATAGTATAAGTCTTCCATTGAATAATGCAAGGCTTACACTGGCTTATGAAAAAGAAACCATTTTATGGAATGGCACATCTGTTAGGTGCCGTCCTCGTATAACAGCCGGACCACTCGGCCCGGGACCTTAGCTAGCCACAATCAATAAACGCACATCCCTCTCAACAAATCCGTGTCTGCCGCGGCACGATATCCGCTTACGCTTGGGGACTTTGGTCGGGACCGGGGAGGGCATTCCGCTAGTTCAGGATCTATTGGAACAGAAATGAGAGGTCGCAAATATCCGGAGCCAACGGACCGGTAGTTCGTAATGCCAGACTTTCGATCAGGCCATAAATTTCAGCCGCAGTGGACCGCTATGATTATGCGCATTCCCTGCAGATACCGCCTGCACCATTTTTGGACGCCGCCCCGAGATAACTAAATTACAGGCCAAGTTGCCCCTGGGAACGGGAAGCGCCCCTGGAAGAACTGGAAAAAACAACAACAGGAGCGCACTGGCCAAAACAGCATCAAAACATAGCCCAATGTTGGCTCTTGATCAATAGGTAAGGTACCTTAGGTACTTTATATACGGCTAGGTATAGTAGCTTGAATTTGAGAGTGCGTAAAAGCCTTCCTGAACTTCTCCATTCCATTCTATTCGCAATTTGTTCCTGCGTCCTAGCTGGCTACCATGGCTTCCAATTCGCGTTCACCACTTCGAAGACTCCCCCTCGAGATTGTAGCAAATATTCTCGGGCATTCAGATTCAATTAAGGAGCTTGGAACATCCATCTTCAGTCATTCCATCTTTTACAATGCATTCAAAGCAAACTCTCGCTCCATCGCCAAGAGCATTATCACTACGCAAATTCCTGAGAAAATAATCCCGTATGCATTGCTGTTACTCGAGTCTGACCATCATGAGCCTGGAGACTTGGTAGCTCTCAGAGGGATGCTCGCACGTTTATGCCCACAGGTCCATGGGACAGATGAAAATGTGGACGATATTACGAGCAGTCACCACGTCTCGGAGACCGCCAGCCGCCCGCTTTCGTTGAGCACACTCTCCATGTCTGACTATGCCTCTTTGAGCAGGAATTATGAGGCTATCCTATTATTACGTCAGATAATGGCTGAAGAGTCTTTACCCATTTTGAGGACTTTTGGGCTCAAAGAAGCGAAGACTCCACTCAGAACTGCCGAAAAATTCCGGCTGGACAGAGCCTTCTACCTTTTCCAGACAATTTGCAATTTGTTTAGTTTCAATGCAAGGCCAGATGATTTGATATTGACTCCTGGGCAGTATTTGGAACTTGTCTCTGGATCTCACGAATACATAGGGATGGTTTTCTACTATTTCTCGCCTTGGGTAAACCACCAGTTACAGAGCGTATATAGCTTTCTCGAAAGACACATCGTCAGCTGTGAGTATACGCAGGGACTCTCCATGGGATCTAACGAAGCTAACCGCACCAACTGAACAGCTTTTCGTTACATTGCTAAGCACGATGTCGCATATGTTGCCTGGACCGATACACATGAAGTTAGTGATCGGGATGATCTCAACATTGATGAATTGGTACGTCAACGCTTTGTGTTTTATTTCACGCTTCATGAGCCGCTAAGCGAAACGCTTTATTTTCATGGTATGCTCATCCTCTAACGTATCTCTGCTCTAGTTCACCCGCGGTCTCTCTTTTCACTTAAAGCTCCACCAGACAAAGACCTTCGAGGCCATATCGCACTTGCTGAAACCGTCCTCCAATCCTGTCACCCGATGGGGTATCTCGGATGTTTTCGACTGTTTGACTGATCCGATGCAGTTCCTTGTGCGGGAACAGGGAATGTGGACCACACAGGTCCAGGATCTCACCGAAGAAGAATTAGGTTTGATACAGCGACCACACGATGGAGAGTTTGATGGTGTGAAGTCGAGCTCATGCCGCAATTGGAAGTGCGCCTTCGAGCGGCACTTAGTCAGCAGCTGTCGACTCGATACAGAGAAGTCCTGGCTTTTGAGGTGCGCATATGTTATGTGGGACTATCCTGATGTTCCTGAAAGCTTTTTGTCTGAAACGTTTCAACTCTTGTTCAACACTTGGATCAATTATCAGGCTTTACCGGGAGATTACCCGGTTAATGTGGAATGGGACCGGAATCCAATTTATCTGTCCTGGCAGCAACGGAGGGGCATCTATGCGCGTGGTGGCGAGGGCTGGTGGCCTGCCACAGGGGTCGATTTCAGCAGAGTCACCGGGCTCACAGAAAAGGATAAGGAAGAGCTGATAATGGAATGGAGGTCACGCGGTTGGGTGGAATCGATTAAGCGTAAACGGAGCGACAGTTCTAGCTCTCGCTCTTCGGTCGAGTCTACGATAACTGTGCGTGAGCGTTACGCTTAATGCCTCTCAAGACATTGATATGTATGTAGTATTAGTTTGCAATAGTTAGTTAGTGAAAGAATGCCAGTTGTAACGACTAGGTTGGGCGGGGTAACATGTTTGAACGTGATGGTACAGAAAGTTGTCTCGGATACCGATTGAAGGCTAACCATGCGTTGGCATCAGCTTGAACACTAGAAGGTTTATTGCTTCGGCACAAGTCACCGAAATGGCAGCAATGTTAAAGATGTAAGTGAAACGCTGTGATTGTAGTTATAAGGGTGTGGGAGCTTAAAAGAGGCTTCACCCCCCAGCGCACGGAGGTAAGTAAGTCAAACACAAGCGTCGATGAGGAAGGTTCTTGATCAAGCCAACGAAAGGCAAATATGTCTAAGGAAAAATGTAATAGTACAAAGTAAGAATTTCAGGAGATCAAATATGAAACAACACAGTACGAGACTACTCAAACCAGCCTGAGACATCCGCCCCACCATCAAAGGACCAGGGCCCCTTAGTTGCCTAGTTCCCCCTACGCCTCTTGGAAGCATTGTTTCTGTCAAAGGCTTTCGGGGGACGTCCGCGTCCTCGCCTAAGCGGTCCAGATCCCTTGTTCGCATTGTCCAACCGGCGCTGATTCATTTGGGAAACCTGCATCATAGTGGGAGGCTCACTTCTGGATACATCACGGCTATCCCAGTCCCCCTTGCGCTTCTTCGCGTTTGTGGTAGGCTTAGTAGCAGGCTGAGTGGCAGTGGTAGCACCGATGTTGGCTGATCCTCGATCGCTCACGAACTGTCTCGGTTCCGGAGCCGAGTCATAAGTATTCAAAAACAATTGCCCAGTTGGCGTGTTTCGGTATGCCCGCAATCTGTCCATGAGGGCCTCGTCGGGTAGCTGAGGCTCCCGAACCATCCTGGCCCATGAGGGGCCAGTCTTTCGCCACGTTTTGCACTCCTCCAACATCCTGACAACTGCAGCGTTCTTGCAATCTTTTGAGGCAGAACGATGGTGTTCGGGACAGTTAACACACTGGTAGTGCGCAGCTTGTACTGTGCATTGGTTTGTATAGTGACTTCCCGCACACTTCCCGCATTGTACTGCAAGTTCGCACTCATTTCTGAGATGCGAAGGCCTGTTGCACCTGGCGCACCAGAGATCGAATGCACGAAGGTCGACAGGCCTGGAATGTGTCAGTTGAAGATAGCCACGAGCTAGGGTAAATACTTACTTAGCGAATAGCGGCGCCCTAGAGCGGCCCAATATCACACCATTGCCCTTGCAGAGCTTTTCTGCATCCTCTCGGGACCCCATGGAAAGTACGAGTGTACTGCATAGTATGAACGCATCGTCAATCTTGACTCCATTCCACGCAGACCAAGTTTCTTTTTCTGATCTAGGATTCTCATTGTGCCGACAGGGATACTTCTCGATCTCGACACAGTACCGCTTCGGGACGATTCTCCAGTCCGGGTCAAGTCCGATGATAGAGCCGAGCCTGCCAGCCTCGAGACGCATCTTATCATCCCAGACCTCGTCGACGCAGGTCAACAACAAGGTCTTGTCTCCAACAGGCCGCAAATCGGTGACCATATTCCAGGGGGACCCTGCATCGCGTAACCTTTTCAAGGCGAGCTCGCATTCCGAATCCTTCTGAAACTCGCTGAAGTTCTCGGTACCCAACTTGACTCTGATCTTCCCCCTGAGGTCCACGATCGTATCCGGCATGCCATGTACGAGGGATTTGAGAATCTCGTGCATCACCGTACCAGTTTGAAGGTTCTGCGTGATGACCATCTCCAAAACACCTCTGAGCAGACCATTGACATTATTGAGAGAAACAGTGAGATTTGCGACGGACTCTTCCAATGATGGGGAGGTTGCAATACCATCAGGGCTGGAGGTATTGACTGGAATGGCTCCAGCAGGAGGGAGATCGACGGGAGGTATAACATCTTCTTGGTCTGTGTTGGGAAGAAGGGTCTCGCCTTCTTCTCGATCTTCGCTATCTTGAGAGGATGCATCATCTTGGAACCCATACGTCGACCCCTGCAAGTCCGGCGGGGATGGAGCGTTGGGACTGTCGACTCTGTCACCCATAGTCTGGGTGGACTCCGGAGACTCTGGCTGTGAATCAGACATTGTGCAGAAGGAGATATTTGCGTAAGATATCAGGTAGTGGAAGAAGAAACTAAACAAATGCTGGAGTTGATAGATGAGTGTAGTATAGATTGCTGATTGATTGTTGGTGGATAATCACAAAACATAAATAGTTAACGACTGCCACCAATTTGAGAAATGAGTTGTAATAGCAGCAAAGAAGTCGCCCAGTGCAGCCATTCAACAACATCATCATCATTGTTTTGTCAACAACTTCATCTCTCTATTCAAGTCGCTAAGGTAACCGGACGGTTCATTGTTACGCATCGCTTGCGAACCGAAGAGTCTCAAAATGGACATTTGCCGCGGCAAGATATTAGAGGCTGTGTTCTAGAGTTCAGGCCGGAAGACAATGCGACCATAACGATAGCCATCATAAGAGCCGAGACCGTGCACGGAGCGTAAAAAGAAAAACTTCGGCCTAAATCCTACAAGGTTTTCTGGATTCTGTTGAGCGCGTCCAGATTACGCGTCGTTTAGGGAGCTGCCGCTAGAAAATGTCAGACAATAGTGGGCTTGCAGGGTTTGAGCGTTGAACAAAAGAACTTGTAACCTGACTAGCAGTCAATGGCTTATCACAATATTGTTCTGCTGTCTAGAATCTCGGCTCCAAAAAGATTAATTGCACCAACAGTTGAGGGTCCTCAGCCTTTGGCTGTAGCAATTGGTCAGTCATTATGGTATAATGTCTAAGTTGTTAGCTAGATGTGTTATTTACAGTTGAGGCTCGTGGCTGAGAGCTTAAACCAGCAGACAGAACTTAGTTGAGGGTCCATTGAGCAAAAAGCAAAACCTTCTCGTATTCGACCATATACTAACTGGTCACACTCGGGAAATCACCTAGGTCGGTTCAACTAGCCTCGGGAATCCCCACTACTCCGGGGTCTTACAGTAACACTTGAGCCTTGTCCTTGAGCAGCTGAAACTGGACCCGGCCAGCTACAGATAGAGTGCCGCCCGCCGGCTGTTAGTGGCCGATGGCGCACTTAGCGCGATTCGTACTTTTCCCGGCATCAAATCATACCGTGTCTCAATGATATTGGCAATAGCGCGGCGGCCGATGCCTACGTGGTAATTTGCAAGCATGGCAACATGAACCAATAACCGGAGGGATTGTTGTTCAGAATCCCTGAGTGAGCAAAGGCCGCCTCCGGTGAGGCTTGAGACATTTGACCAGCAGCAATGCAACCATTTGTAAAGACTCTAGACTCCAGGCTGCAGACTGCATAGTTCGGATATTAGGCAAGGAACAGTCAATAGCGCATTCATGATGGGCTGATTAACCTTGACACCAAGCGGTTGCTGGAGTGAATGCCATGTTTGCACGGGTTGTAAATAACAACAACCTTTTAATGAGATTCTGTTGATTAACTGTCTTTTACATCCTGCCCAAGACTGTCCAGATTTATGCATACAACGTCTGGAGCACTATCATTATGACTACACCGACTTCCATCTCCCTTTTCCAGATGGAACAACTAAACCATCGCTTCATGCATTTTGTTATACAATCTTCTGCTGGGCATTATGACAACTACCGTCCCGTTGGAGAGGCCACTCTCAAAAGGCCAAAAAAAGCGACTCAAGTCGCAGCGACGAAAGGAAAGACTGACTCGTCTGATCGACAGCCCCTCAGATCTCAGCGTCGTCCAAATCAACGTCAAGGAGGCGGGAGAAAGAGTCCAGTCTCTCAAAAATTGGATTCACAATTGCGAGCACAGGGCTGACATCATCTGTCTTCAAGATATCCCAGCCAACATCAGAGCCACCCAGTTTCCTGATCACATTCTTGCGTTTGGTCCTAATAACCCTGAACTTCTCCCTCCAAAGGACGAGGAACAAGCGAGGACCAAGAAAAGAAAGTTGATCCACATCACTAGCCAGTATCTTGAAAAGGAGAAGTTACACGCGGTTGCTTACCTGATACACAAGTCCATCCCAATTGCAGATTGGGATGTCGAGTTCCATGACGATGTGAATATTGGTTTGGCCGCCACACTGCTATTGCGGATCAGTGATGATCAAACCATTGCGATCCACAATGTCTACAATCAGCGGAAGCTGGTCAAGATCCCCGATCTCCTCCAGAGGGTCACTGCAACTGGTCAAGACTTTCTTGTGGGCGATTTCAATCTTCACCATCCGTCATGGTGTGGCAAAGAAGTAATCACGATCGAGCCCGAAGCCATCCAGCTTGCCGACGGCCTTAAAGAGGCCGGCATGAGCCTCTTGACTACCCGTGGTCTTCCCACTTACGCCCGAGGAAGTTTCAAGACTGGCAAGTACACCAGTACAATTGACCTTACCTACGCCAGCTTGTCTCTTCTCCCGTTTGTTCGCGAATGGCAGTCGCCACACGTACCAGGCTTCGGTTCTGACCACCGTGTCATTATGACAACATTCAACCTCGAGGTCAACCGAGTTCCCAGTACCTACTACATGTGGAAGCGCGCGAACCCCGACAAGTTTCGTGCGTGTGTTGGCGAGTCACTGAAACCCATTGGGTTTCCGGCGCTTACAAGCACCGCCATGATCGACAACTACGCCCGTAAGGTCGTCCGGGCATTCGGTCCAGCCATTGAGACGCTAGTACCTCTAGCCTCGCCGCCAGGGTCGAAGCGTCCCAAGTCCAGGCCAAACCTTGTCACTCAGCGAGCCCAGAATCTTGTGAGACTGGCCGAGGAGAGAGAACACAACTCTGGCGTTACCTCAGCGAGTCAGCAGCATTACAAGGTGAAACGCTTTGCGCAAAATGTCATTCGCAAAGAGCGCTCGGCCTCGTTTCACCGCATGCTCGCTCGCGACATTGCGAAACGCAGAAGACTCTACTTTTGGGCCAGGAGGGGCGCTAGCTGGAACAAGAAGGCCCTCATGCCCATCCGGCAGCTCACAGCCGACAAGGTTACTCACCGTACACCTGATGGCATGGCTCGCTGCTTCCGGCAGGCCATGTGGCCAGATGGGACTAGTGACGAACAGCAGGTCCCTCCCAACCGGCCACCCGACGACTCTGAGAGGGTTCCGTTAGCTGTTTCCCACGACTTGGAAAAGTCCGAGGTCAAGAGTCTGATCGCTGGCGCGCCTAGTGGGAAGGCAGCAGGGCCAGACCTGCTAGCCTATGAGGGCATGAAGATGGCCCAAGAGGAGCTTTTGCCCTACCTTCACCACCTTTTTGCAGCCTGTCTCAAGCTCGGTCATCATCCCGCTGCCTTCAAGCAGGCTTGCACAGTCATGCTGCGAAAGGCGGGCAAGGATGACTACGAGCAGCCCAAGAGCTGGCGACCGGTCGCCCTGCTTCCTTGTATGGGAAAGCTGCTCGAGAAGATCTTCACTTATCGACTCAAACAGCTTGCTGTCCAGCACAACCTCCTCCCCGACGTTCAGTTTGGCACTCCCGGCAAGTGCACCACCAAGGCACTCCAGTATCTGCTCAACAGCGTCTACCATGCCTGGACCGGCAAGTTTCGGCGACTGGCTACTCTCATGGGACTTGACATCACGGGCGCGTACGATAGAGTCGAGCGGAGCAAGCTCATGAAGATTCTTCAGGACGCTGGCCTACCCGAATGGATGCTCAGCTTCATCTGGTCTTTTCTTACTGATCGCAGCACCGACATGAGGATCCCGGGCTTCACCTCATCCAGCTTCTGGGTCAACATGGGGATTCCTCAGGGCAGCCCTTTGTCTCCTATACTCTTCCTTTTCTTCTCCATGCCCATCGTTGGTGCCGCCTCCGAATACACAAACTCCAGGGTAAAGATCTATCCCTTTGCCTACGTCGACGATACCTACCTACTTGCCGTGTCCAACGACTACGGCGACAACTGTAAGGCGCTCAAGGAATGCCACGACAGGATCATGGAATGGGCGGACTCCGTCGGCGTTTCTTTCTCGCCTCACAAATACCACGTCATGCACTTCTCTCTACCTCACGCCTCAGCTGAGACCTCGAAGGTCATGCCGAAAATCCCTGGACTCGAGGGCAAGGAGCCCGAGACCTCTATGAGAATTCTGGGCGTTGAGGTTGACTTCAAGCTCAATTGGCAAAGGCACGTTCAAGAGGTAAGATTTACACATTTCAGGCTCTTTCTGTTACATACTAACTCGTCCTCACAGCTAACTGCCAAGGCCAACACCAAGATGAACAACATCGCACGAATCTGCAATACCACTGCAGGCCCTGACATGATATCCTTGAGGCAGCTCTACATCACCACCGTTCGACCGATTCTATCACACGGCTGCGGCGCTTGGTTCATATACGGGGATAAGGACACCGTCACGTACCAGATACCGAAAAAAGTCTTACAGTCTCTGGTCAGCATTCAGAACCAATGCCTGAGGATAGTCACCGGGGCATTGGATCGTACTACCGGGCGAGCGGTCGACAAGGAGGTATATGTTGAAGACATCCTTGTCTATCTGGAAAGGGTTGCGACCTTGCAGAGGGCACGCGCTCTAGACACTCCAGACCACGAAAGGCTTCGCAGAATCCGACGGCAGGGCAGGACGCCAGCTCAATTCGAACTTCATCCGTACCATGCGCTGGACTACCCAGCAAGATCCCTTTTAGAGAGAGCTAACGAGTCGTGTAGGGACAGGAAAGCTAGCAACATGTCACTTAATGTTGTGAGGAAGGCAATGACGAAGATTGCCAAGCAGGACGCGGAAGATCTGTCGCAAAGGATGTGGAGCCGACACCTTGAAGATTCCCATCGTGAAGATTTCGATGAGGAGTCTCCGCGATTTCGCAGCGCAGCCCTGCTGGACAAGGCTGGATGGGGACCTCACAACCTCAAGCGCTACTGCGGCCTATCTCGAGCACAAAGCACTATGCTGATACAGTGCCGAACCGGTTTCATCGCCTTGAAGCCTTTCTTGTGCAGAATTAAAGTAAGCCAACCCGACCAGACTCTCCCCAACACTGCTAACCATGCTTCAGGCCTCCGACACGGCGCTTTGCGATTGCGGAGCAGACCGCCAGACCGTCTTCCACATGTTCATCCAGTGCAAGATGCTAGCGACGGCCCGAGTAGACCTCTACACTGCACTCGGCCACAGAGACTTCTACAGGATGCTGTCCGAGAAGCCTGAGATCGCTGCCGACTGGGCGATGACGTATTTCGGCATCCCCCAGTTCGAGTACCCCAGTCTCGACTCCCGATTCAATTCGGTTGAGTCATCTGCCTCTGCCTCCCGGCCACTCAACGTACTTGATGAACTCAAGGCGTGGCTTTACGGGGGAGCGACATGACATGATTTTACGTGTCCCAAGTGTTCATTATCTGTGTTTTTCCTCAACCTGTGTTCTGTAAGTCATCTACCAGCCATTGCATGTCCCTCTCTATCGTACCCATGCTGACGGACTCTACCTAGTCATACTGCGTTGCCTTGGGGCCTGATCCAATCTATTACTAACCCACACAGCCAGCTTCGGTCCGCTAAGTAAGCCATTCCTCGGTTGAGTCCTTTGGTGTTTTGTGTACCAACTAACATTCCCTCGCCAGCATTTACAGTTTTTCCCCTAACGCCAAAAGTGAGTCACCCGTCGTCATTGATCCATCGCACCTTGACTAACAACTTCTCGTCGCAGCCTTCATTTCCCAATTTGCCTTTTTCCCCCTCTTTTCCCCCTCACTTCCCCTCCTTCACGCCGCGATTGCCCTCGATTCCCGCGATACAAGTAGGTGTCCACCTGTCCTCGTCGCGTCTTCAATTCATTGCTGACGACCCGCAGCATTTACACCGTCAATTCGACCACTGCGACCGCGCATTTCAACTCCATGAACCACGCCCAGTATACACCGTAAGTTTGTCGGGGTGGACGATCAGCAGACTCTCGCTAACAGCTACTACTCCATTGCCGCCGCCCGATGCGATTCGGGTCACGAAGACCTGTTGCTCTGTCGATAGGTCTTGACCCTGTTCCAGCCGATTAACGAGGTCTTCCAAGGCCTGCATCTGGCTTGTGATATATCCAAGGATGGATCCGTTTTGTGTGTCAAGGAGCCTTACTTTGCAATCGAAGATTGCCAGATGTTTGTCTTTTCTACTTCTAGGCGGCCTTGCTAATGCTAATCATCGCGTTTAGTGACTTGATGTTTTGGCAGTAATCTGTCGACGTGT